CCTCATGTCAGTATACGGGTGTATCGAAACCTTTACGTGGACATGTGCTCGTATGCTTTTACACATGCCTGTGTGTGACTTTGTTTTGAGATATGAGCTACTCATCACATTCCGTGCATGCTGACAACTCTTCCTGCTCCTATTAAGGGTAGGTACGAAAATAAGAAAGTTTACATGTATGGGTGTATATGTATATACATATATATGTACACACACGTGTGTAATGTGCCAAACAATAGTACAGCATTGCCGTTAGCACTAGTATTCCTATGGACTCACAACAAATATGTTTGCTATGTGTACGTTATCACGGCAACACCTAGTGAGCAGTAAGTATACTGCGATCATGATACAATATAAACTAAAATCAACATCCAACCCGTACCGAAAACTGCAGGCATCCGACGACAGACGTGCTACCATACTTAAACTTGCAATGGAGCCTTCATGAAGATACTAGAATGAGCGAACTTATTAGGCGTACATATGCACAACGTGTAGCCGTCCGAAGACCTTATCGTTGTGATTCATGTATGTACCCTGTCTCTATATTAAACAAATAAGTTTTGAAAAAGAGTATGCATATTTTTATATATGCTAAACCACCCCAAGAACTACCGGGGGTGGGGTACCGTATATATATATATATATATATGTATGTATGTACACACACACACCTACACACACAAAAGTGTAATTAAATGCATATATACACACATTCATATATATATATATATATATGTATATGTATACATGTATGCAGGTCGTCATCTTCACTCCATCATATCTGTTCTTGGCTCCCGGAGTCTTGATTGTCCAGAGCATTGCATTTATGCTTCTGACCATCGAATATGTGATGTCGTCTTACACTATATGGCATTATGCCAGTTATGAACCTCCATCACCATGCTGTAGTGCAAAAACGGACACACTTATATATATATATATATAGAGGTGTGTATCCGAAGATACATGTAAACAAAAAAGTTAATGAATCTGTACATATATATGTATATATATATATGCCTACTTCTCTCCGCGCATGTAAGGATTTTTGGATTATTGGTATTCTTTTTTGTTGGCATTTGCCTGGTTTGTCCAAAACGAGTTCGGCATACACATCTATGCATATAGCTGTAGTATGCGTATATATATATATGTATACACTCGTATACAGAACAGTATATTTCTGTGTACCTTTATACAGGTATCTATATCCATGTGCATGTAGATGTGTATTGTATGTATATATATATACAAATGTCATATGTGGTTTCGGTTTTGCTATGTTGTTTCTGGGATAAATAACGGTCCCTCTGCAAGGATAATATGTTCAAAACCACTGTTCTCACTGTCGCTGTGGATGGAGGAAATCTTGTACCTACATGCAGCACTGTTGACTCGTAGGACGGTGCAACTAAGACTAAACGTTATACACGTTAACTTGCAGAAAAACGTCTTTTGATACAATGAAGAGTAAGCTTACAATCCTGGCGCCCTGCGATCTTTCTCATGTCGTACCGCTCATAGTGAATGATGTTTTATGTAGTTTGAGATCTCTTAGTAATTCGTTAATGTGTAGGCAGGAGTGCCATTAGACATATCAACATGCTACATATACATATGTAGAAGTGCTTGCATGCACAGCACGTATACATACATACATACATACATACATACATACATACATACATGCATACCATCCCTACATGCATACATACATACATACATACATACATACATACATACATGCGTATACACCACGTGAACGTATGTCCATATAAGTTTTGCAGGTCGGGTTGGCTGTTAGTAGCGTTAAAGATCATAGACACCATAACAATAACTGCAAAAAAGGGCACTCTCACAGCGACCCGGTCTCCAAATCTTCCAGTTACACAGGGGATATCGGAACACCATCACTGGTTGCTGAGGCATCTATGTTGCACCCTCTGTTGAGAAACTTCCCCATATCGCAGGATGCACTTTGACGACTTGAGGCAGGCACTGCGAAGCTTCTCGACACGCATCTGTGCATCCTGCCATGCCAACCCGAGATAGACGAACCCGGAAACCGGAGAAGCCGTTCCTTGCATGCCCTACTTCTCGAGCCTTCTTCCGTGTCCGAGCGCGTGCATGCCTGGTTGGTTGTGCACCTTCCCTACAGTTGCCGGGGTTTTCACTCAACGGACGCTCCCTGTGCCCAAGCTGGACTTGCAAGCCCTGAGAATCATCCAACATCAAATTTGAAGCCTTTAAAACATGTTCCCCCACTCAACCTCCAGAACTGATCGCCCTAACCCTGCCCGAAGTGCTGGATTGTCAAACGGCCCTTGCACAGTGCCTGCAAAGCAGACTCTGAGCGCTCGAGTGCCCAAGCTGCCTGGATTCTCCTACTTTTTGCCCTATTGCGAATCTACACTACTCGGGCTTCACGTCTAGTTCCTAACATTTTGGTCCTCTTCTGCCTACTTGTGTTGGCTCTAGTTTGTTCACTGTCTTTCAAGGAGCTGTCGGTTGCGGGGTGCAGGACTTCAAGGCTTAAGATTAGCAATGCCGCTGCATCCCAGGCTGGCAAACTCCGCATGCTCAACCCTGATAGGAGCTTAACCATAGGGCAACCCGGCATTGAGTCCAAACCCCAGCTACCCTACTGCGAACTTGCGGGAGCAAGATTCAACGCAGTGAATTTCGAAGCTCCATGAACTGCTTGGCCCCATCTACAAACTTACACACCCCACAACATCTACAGTGTGTGAAAAGTAGTGGGTTCCACCAAAGACCAGTCAAGAGATCTTGAAACACTTGCGAAAGACACATCAAACCATATATCCTCCTCGAATTGCAAGCCCTGAGCGCCAAAGCCCTGAGTGCATCCCAGTGTTTGCAGCCTCTTTCGCCTTGGCAATCCCTGCGGCCTCGTGTGCCTCGCAGGCGATGGATTCCCGAATGCGTTTTGAATGTCCGCCTTTGGCTAAGGGCTAGGACTTGAGGTTAATTCAAGCATAGGACGAGGGCTCAGGCTTTTAGGGTTAATGCGCGGGGCCGTTTGTGGGTGGAGGAACGCATTAAATGCTTTGCTTCGCAACGTTGGACGTTGTGGGGACTGAAACACGGGCTCGAGTTCGTTCTAGAAAATTTGGGACCCGGATCAGCTACTGCCTCAACTGCGGGCAGGGCCTGCTCTTCAAGAAGCTGATGCTTCTTCTGCTCGCAGCAGCGGCCTAGAGCAAGGCTTCCGTCATATAATGGCAAAGGGTAGCCGTCAGAGAACCAAAACACGAAGAGGATCCGTGAGGCCTCATTCGTAAACCATCGGAATCTTGAAACCTGAACCATAAAATGCTAAATAAGACACAAATCTAAGCTAACCAACGTCTACATGATTATGACGAAAGCCCGGCATAATTGCGCCATCTACTTTCAGTGTATAGTATGACCTTGCACCTATGCGGCTCGAATGCAAGAACAGCCCTTCAGGTAGTACACGGTACTACAAAAACTGGGAAGGACGACCATTAGTGCTGTAGCTCAAAGGCCTGTTGGAAGGGGCCGGGAAAGGTGGGAGTTTCTTCCGCAAACCAGGAGCACTTGCCACAGGGCCATGATTTGGGGATCTCATTTTTGCCTTCTTGCCCTCTTCTGAGATACGCAAGTTCAAGCCAAGGTTCCAAGAACGCCGAAGCTCCCGAACTCCGAAATCTGTACTCTCCTATCCAAAGCAGCACTTTTCGTCTCGAAGAAAGACCAGAGGGCCCTGCAATCGTCCTGCAGCTTGACTTTCTGCCTTGGCCATGGGACCTACTGTAATATGCGTTGTTCGTTGCAAGATGCTCGCAGTCGCGGGGTTTAAGGATGTTCCAAAGTGGCATCGTCTGGCTGCGTGATTCTTTCTTCTCAGGTGGCTTGTCATTTCGGGGGTTGGCATCGATCTCTGAAGGTTTGCTCAGAAGCTTCTCGTCGTCAAAGCATCCGAACCCGACAGGCCAACCGTACACAATGACCTCCATGCGGGAACCGAGTCAACGAAGTTTGCATGGCCTCTTGAGCTATGCATCACCAGAGATGCTGCATCATCGAATCATTACCACCTCCACCACCAGCAACATCACGGATTCCTGATCCAATTCTGGAGCCCAGACCAAAACCAGTTCAAGCACGGAAGGTCTGAGGGGGTTGCTGGAGACGAAGCTCCTGTTTCAGAGCCTGCATCGAGTCATGGCTTTGTGATTGCTGAGATCCTGGGTCAAGGGATGTCAAGCACCTATCATGTTGGAGGGAGAGAGTTCACAGGCTTTGAGTTCAATGCTCTGGTTCCTGGATTTCGACGGTGAGGGGTCGGGACCTGCCGGACCTGTGCGCATCGTGCGTTCCCCCACCGGCTTGCTGTCCACGTCTGATGTGTATTTGAATCCTTTTTCGTTCACTTCATGAAACATTTCCTTCAACACGAGACACTTGACCTTTCTATGCCTTGGGCTACCAAGTTGGTGGCCTCGTCCCGCTGCGCTGCCTGGCAATGCGAGGACGCTTGAGCATCTCCACAAAATGCAAGACAGCAAAGCACTAAGCGAGTAGGGTCCGCCTTTGCCAAGGCCGCTTCTGCCTCTGCTCTCTTCTGCTCTGCCTCATACAAGCTTTGCAGAGGAACATGGGCCTGGCAAGCCGCCCCCCAGGTGTCGGAGTACAGATCCGAAGACGCCGCAGGCGGCAAGAGACACTTCTGATTGTGCTGGGTGACCACGCCGAAGAGCGTGCAATAGACTCTGCGGTTCACCGGGCCAGATCAAGCAAGAGCTCAAATCAAAAGTCGTGATCTTCGGTTTTTAGCCGGGGCGGGCTTTGCCCATGGGGTTTTTGTACCAGTCTCCGTTTGGGTCCTGCTTCTCGTCGGTCCTGAATCACCTTATAGTCGAAAAAAGGCCGCCTTGAGGGGACTCAGAGGTTCGAGTATCGCCTCAGAAATACAGCAACAACAACGGCAGGATCACTGGGACACGGGCAACCCCTCGCGCAAGCCGGGTCGCCTCCTGTTCAGGGATTTCGGATGTGCGTCTTGGGTTCACCGACTTGAGGGATGCTTTTCTTCAACACATCTTACTCTTTTACCATGAACTCGAAGGGAAGACTGCATGCCCCCGGTGTATTGACTCTGATTTAGTCAGCTGGCATATCGTACGTACTCAAACTCAAACATGGACAGACGAATGCCTCTTGCAAACCCGAAAACATGATCGTACGCCATAAACCCTCCAACATCTCATCTCCCGTCCTCCACGCGCTGGAGGCGGCTTGTGCCGGCTTGGAGCTCTGCCTGCATCTGCTGCACTTCGGCCTGTCGGAGTCAGGGTGATGCGCTTGGGGATGTGGGGGTTTTCGGGCTTAAGGGTTCAGCATAAAGTTGAAGGTTTTGGGCGGTTTTCTTACAGATTTCATGGTGATCGGGTTTAAAGCTTATTATGGCTGTGGTATGTCAGGTGGAGGTTTAGGGTTGTAGTCATAGGGTTGAGGGTGTCCGTGCTGTAGCGATTGCTGCGATTACTGATGTTTTGCTATGGGCCGTGGTACCAGCATTGCGGAGGAGTGCGTCCTAGTGTTGGTTGATCGCAGCAGCTTGCTGAGCAAGTCGCATGCACCCGAGCCCCAACACCACGGACCGTCTACCTTTAACTCTTAAGCAAATGTGCCCCATAATCGCCCGTGACCCCCAGTGCTCTTAACCACCACCCCAACCAAGTTCCATCTTGAAGACCCTAAAGCCTGCTTTCACCCAGCAACACTCTGAAACGCACCGGAGAAGTACCTAGAGCCTCAAGCGAGACCTGCCCCGGATCTTGAAGCTACTGTGTTGGGTTTGGGGGTCAAAGGCCTGGCGGTCAGGGGTTTCCGGGTTCAGCTGCACCTTGTAGAATAGCATGAACAACGTGATGAAACCCGGACAAGGAAGTCTAGTTGACCCCAAGGCTGCCAAGGCGAGAAAGTACCTCCAAACCGCGCCGGCGAGCCTTCAAAGCTGCAAGCTGATAACCCCGGGCCGAAATGCCTCAAGAAATCTACTCCCTAGCTGCCACGAAGAGACCCTCGAAGGTCAGCCTTGAGTGCTTCACTCTCCGCCGCGAGCTGCTGGGTTTCCTCTCAGAAAGTTCTGGGATGATTTCGGGCTTCAGTCGTTTCAGCATCGTTTCGAAATATTTAAGGTTGAAAGCTCGCGTCTTTTCGCGTTTAGCACCAGCGGTTGCTTCATATCCGAGTATTCTGCAAGTACAGGTCCTCCGCGAGCATAGCGTGCTTGGAGCCTCTGGCGAGTGCAGCTTCGCTTTGCGGGATATGGGTATCGAGTTGATGGGAAGGCTCCCTGCATAATCTTTGCGTCTTGGACATGGCCTCTGCTTGTACAAACAAACTGCACCCACTGTCGATACTCGATGTCGCAACAGTGCGCTGGCGCAATGATGGCCAGTCCCCCGTCGTTTGCGGAAGTGCAAAACATATGGTGTGCTGTGATGCGGATCTGTGGCCAAATCGCATGACTTCCGAATGACAAGAAGTGGCAGCATCTGACCGGATAGATTTACCGGCAGTTCCAGACCCTCTTCTCAGGGCACGGCTGAGGCTCTTGATGCTGGCCTCTCGGAGTTGTGATGCATCTGGTCTTCGGAGATATCAGGTGTCGCTTTCTGCAGACTGTTGCAAATATCATCGCGTCTGCCAACCAGACCGGTCATCCTATTTCTGCAAACCATGCCTAAAGGTGGTCTTCTGACGTGCTATGCAGTTACGAGGCATGTGAGTAGGCATGCACAGAACGCCCATAACATGCTATTGACCCAAACCCTTAACTCGGCATATAGCTGAGCAAAGAAAATCTGAAAGTCGGGCAAATGTCGTTCTAGGCTTGACTAGGTGTGAATCGAAAAAACTAAAAGTATGCAGTTGGGAACTGCGCCCCTGTGTCTAGATTCGCTAACTTCGGTCCCTGCGCACACGGCACGTGGATCATCGCTTTTCCTTGGAGGTGCTGGCGATAAAAGGCGACAGTAATCCTGCCACGTAAGTGTGGGCGGCAACCTCTGCACTCTCCTCTTGGCTGTCAAGGCTGCATTTCTCATATTTCTCTTTGGGTTCACTGCCGACCTCTTCGTCTCCGCGGTTGTCGCTCTCGACAGCTTCGCTACACTCGTCCTTGTCTCTCCTTCTCGGCCTCTCCGTGGCCAGAAGCTGAGCCATGTCGTCATCCTTCGCATAGTCAAAAGGTATGTAGCCCATTTCGTCTTCAATGTCTTTGCTGGCCCCGGCCTCGACAAGTACGCGAGCGACTGGCAAAAAGTTGTGAATAGATGCGCAATGTAGAGCAGTGTAGCCACCGCATTTGTCCACGCGGTCCAGGCCCACAAGGCCTATTCTGTCAACCACAGCTTGCACTAACAATCGCACAACCTCCACATGGCCAAAGGAACAGGCCGTGTTCAATGGTGTCTGTCCATCCTCGTTCACCTGGTCGATTGCAACCTTTGCATGCAAGAGCCAGCGCACAACCTCCACAGAGTTGTCCACAGTCGCACTGGCAAGCGCAGTGGTCCCTATGATCTCTTTATCAGGGTCAGCACCAGCGTGCACCAGCAAGCGAACAACTTCCGAGTGCTTGTTCTGGGCTGCCAGGAAGAGCGCAGTGAAGCCGTCGGCATCAACACGGTTTGCATCTGCCTTAGAGGCCAACAACAGCTGTACGATTTCTGGATGACCTTCACCACATGCGACTACAAGAGCCGTCGCGCCGTGCTCAGTTGCGTAATTGGGGTCAACCCTCGCCTCCAACAGCAATCCAACAACCTCCAGGTTGCCCTCGCAGCATTCGCTGTAGAGCAACTCGCTTCCTTGAGAACCTGGACCGGTACCAGCACCAGCCTGCACCAGCAGCCGTGCAATGTCGACCCGCCCTTCTTGAAGGGCACCGATTAAAGGAGTGCAGTCGTTGCTGTCGGCCTTGTTTAAATCTGCTCTAGCGGCCAGCAGCCAGCGAATCATGTCCTCCCCACCTTCGCGAGACACGGCAAGTAGGGGCGTGACGCCATCATGGTCGGCCATGTCCATGTCAGCGCGAGCTTCCAAGAGCAATACCACAATTTCGGTGTAGCCATCTTGCGATGCCTGCATCAGAGCTGTTTTGCCATCGGCAGTTGTTGCATTTGGGTCTATGGACCGCTGCAAGATTTTTTCCACTTCCTCGACAGAGCTATCGCCAGGGGAATAAACGAGCTCCTCAATCTCGGCTTCCGAAGCAGCGCAAAAGGTCACTAAGACCAGAAGCACACTCTCCATTGACACGTCGAGACACACATCTTCCTCCAAAGCAGTGCCTTCGTGCAGAATCTTCTGCCGAAAACGCGGAACACCGCAGATCTTCTGCAATTCTTTTTTCAAATTCTGGACACTGCTTAGACCTGCTGCAGGAATGGCGGCCATTTCCTCACCGGATGGTGTCAGAACATGAAGCATGCTCGGGCAGTGGATCTAGATCGTGCCGAGCCGATTCTTGGGCTCCGGGCAGCGAATCGTACGTCACTTCACAGCCCTGCTTTAGCCCGTGCGGCACAAGATGACACCCACATACATGATATTAACAATGCCGGATTCCTAATCTGCCCCCGAAACCCAATTGCACAGCACTACCTCTCCGTCCTTGACTTATCAAGCAACGACGACCCAACCTCTTTAGCATCATCGGAGTTTAGTTTTAGTCGTGGCGGCAGTCGACAAACTGACTTTAGGGGTGCCGTACGCTTCGTGTTCGTTGCATTGTGACTAGCACAGCCTCGGTACTATCATCACTGTCCATTCTTGTTACAAACTCGTGCTAGCTGATGAATAGTTTTGGCAGAATTCTCATGATAACTGCTGTTAGTTGCACCAATAATCGTAATATCCTGAAATTATCCTGGTTTTCGAGCTTAAGTGTTGCTGTCTTACCATCATGGCTTTAGTGTTGTCGGCACTATGACTATGACTGTCAAAGTATGTCATTCTTACACAGGCCGTCAAGCAAAATCCGGCCTGTGAGACTTGCCGCACCCCTCTGGAGAGTACGGACCTGGCAAACTCAAGGACATCGCGTCTTGTCCGGGAGGAGCAGGGCTGTTGCAAGCGGTTTCACAATTTCAAGCAGGACTCCTTGCGTGCATGCATACATATAGACACACACACGCATCTCTGGGTAAAGCATGCTCTACAATGCCCTGCGCAGAGCTACGCACACCGGGCAGGACAAACGGGTGACAAACGCAAACGGAGTCGGAGTGACGCCGGAGCCTGAGCCAAAGGTTTCTTCATCGGATCCTGGCAAGTCGAGCTTCGGAAGGTTAGAAAGGATTAATGTGAAGCCTTCGGCGTCAGGAAGTTTGGGCGGGTCTTAAAGCCTGACCCTTTGGGGTCAGGATGCCCAAAGCTGACAAGCAGTTTCTCTCAACTTCGATCCTGGGCGGGCATTTCGGGATCGTGCATGCATCACACCCAGCAACTGTCTAGGATTGTCTTGGCATAAACGGTCGCGCATCTGCAGATCCTATACCTGAATCGTGAAGAACGTCAGGCACGCGAAGAACTTGTGAGTAGCATCCTAAACCCACAAAGACCCAAAGGAATAGATCCTACTCTCAACCTGCAGCCGTGAAAAACCCGCCTGCTCTGGAAGCTCTCGCGTGATGGCAGCCATCAGCTGCTCCAGCTCCTTCGAAGCGAGATTCATGCAGGTCTAACCTGAGCCTAGGGCCAAAGACGCAATGTCCGGTGCGTGGGGGAAAGTCGAAGTCTAAGTTGTGAAGCTCTGATCAACTATTTCTGACATTGACTCTGCTAGTGGTGGTGGTGGCCATCATCGTCATCATCATTATCACCACCATCATCGTGACTATTGCGACTGCTGCCACTACCATCAGTAGTAGTAGTAGTAGTAGT